ATAGATGTAATTTTAGTGTAGATTATCATATCATAATATAATTTCCTTGAAGTAATTTAATAAACTGTATTTAATAGCCGTAATAATTACATGCGAACCGGACTGACCTTCAAGCCATAATATTATGTATATAATGTCATTGCATCAGATAAAAAAAATATATTATTAAGATGATTAATTTATTTAAAAATGACATCAACAGTGCAACTATCTCTACTTTAATTAGCTGGCTGTATGTAATCTAATTTATTCATAGAAAATTTAAAAAAAAAACTACAACCAATCTACGATTAAGTACATATAAAACAAAAGCGTAAAGAAGTTTAGATTGTGACACTAAAACACTTATATGTGAAACATAGATTTACTATAAACTTGATGATGAATTCGGATTCAAAATTATATAATTGAGAATTTAGAAACAACAACTTGAAATTTATAATGCCAGCGTGACATAGCAAAATAGTCGCTGCTGTGTTGCATATTGTTAGTAAGATGCTTGAATCCTCGAAGATCCTTTTCACTTGTATCGATGCTTTGCATTTCATCTTTGCAGGTACTGATAAGCGATAATACATCTGCATTTTGTTTGCACTCGTTTGTCACCATTATTCTCATATTTTATGAAAATCGGGAGCTCCAGAGGCCTACGTACACTATCACAAGGCTAACAACAACCAACAAAACTTCATCGTGTAATAGAATAACTATACTTATTTATCTTACATTGATTACTTATTTATCTTACTTATTTGTAGGATTTTATGTATGCACTTTGTAGTGCCTCCATAAGAGAATAACCATATCATCCCGTAGGAGTCGTTAGAGGCGACAGGGGAAAGTAACTCAGTAGATATGCCAGCATCACAAAACAAAAAATGCGGTCGCCAACCCACCTTAGGTGGCAACTATGGCAAATATTCTCCCTATAAAACAATCTCTCTAACAAGCAGTTTCTCCTGTATCGTGGAGGCGTTTACATCCATAAGTTGCACACGTGCCAACATCAATTATTTATAATCCATACAAACACTTGTATGGCTTATCAATATTTGATAACAATGATAAATAAATCCTTCCACTTGAAAAAACCTTTAGCATCCATACTCTTCTCAGATGGGATTTGAACAATGACTTCTGCGGTCAAATATGCTAATCATTAGTCATTACTCATTATGAATCGCGGCCGTCGTGTCTACTAGAATAACAGTCTACTAAAATATTATTCTCGTAGTCTACAATAGCCACGGTCTAAGCTGAGTAAGGTTGAAAACTGTACTGAACATAATGAAAAAAAAAATAACATAGAATAATTTTTATTCATTAAAGATAACAAGAATGGATCACTGAAAGTCATTTTATTTTTATAACTGTTTTGGAAAAAAGCCTCCGTCCTGAGAGGAACCAGCAGAAATCTAGCGGGTTTTTACAGGGATGGTAGACATGATAAGAATATAGAACGACGAGTGAATGCAGGTAATGGAGTGAATGGGGCTCTACACCCTATTGTGAGAAGTCAGAATGTGTCCAAAAAGCCACGTATGGCAATTCACAATGCTGTGTCAGTCACTACTTTAATGTATGGTAGTGAAAGTTGGGTGTGGCAGAAGAAGCACGAGAGTAGAAATGCGGTCATTAAGGAGCATGTTAGGGATGAATCTGAATGACAGAGTGAGAAATTGTATGATAAGAGAAGAGTGAGGTTTGCAAGATGATGTTGTGACCAGGATTAAGAAAGCAATGCTTCGGTGGTTTGGTCATGTAGAAAGAATGAATGAGGAAATAGTGACAACGCAAATTTATTTTGCAGAGGTGAACGGCAGAGTCGGGAAGGGACGCCCTAGGTGAAAGTTTATTGCCCAAATTGGCGATATATTGAAAATGGGCCACCTTTAACCGACGAGCGTGTATGCATAGGTTGTGGAGGAAGCGAGAGAGGTGTGTCAGGATCGTGCCAAATGGAAGTCCATAGTCTCTGCCTACCCCTCTGGGTGACAGGCGTGAGTGTTGTTTATATACAATACTTACATATATATTACGTGGTAGAGTGCTACAACTATACCAGTAATATGCTGCAGCTATATTACATGCTGCAGCTATATTACTGGTATAGTTGTAGCACCAATTTGTCGACTCGACTAGAAAAGGACCACGTTCTCACAAAATACCAACGTAAAATAGCAGCTTAACACGGCTGCGTAGTATGGTGAGTGTAGAGAACCGGAGACTTCTATTTACTGCAAATAAGGCATTCCATTATATACCTCAGGGGTGACAACGCATCTGCATTTTAATTCTTTAACGAGTATAATTGTAGATGGCTTTGAGCCTCAGCAGCCACTTACTATCAGGTAGACTGTGTGCTCGTTTGTCACTCTTATTCTAAAAAAAATTGTCTTACTGTCTGTTATTGTACTGGCCTTCCAACTGGAATACGATAGAGGATGGACAGCTGCTTTACGACATGAATAGCTACTGGATGTTATGAATTCACAATAATGTAATAAGGCATTAAGTCCGCTCTTTATATCCCTTATTATAAAGTGTATAATTAAATAAATTAATTTAAAAGAAAAGGCCGATGGTCTCCTAGGTAGAAAAGGAACTCTTTAATTTAGTTGTTAGCGGTAGCTTTTTAAATGACCGGCAATGCATCTGCAATTACCCTGGTTCCCCTGGTGTTGCAATTGTTCATGGGCGGCAGTAGTCACTTACGATCAGGTGAGCCACATGCTCGTTTGCCCCCAATTCTATAAAAAAGCTAGTATTAGTTATGTTGGGATGAACATGTCCTTTCGACAAAAATACATTTTCCTTTATAGGGTCTACGGGAAGATATTTCAGCAAATTATGGAATAAGTAGAACCTATGTACAAACTCTAAACTATATCACTGTTTCTGTATCTTTTTGCGTGTACACAAATACATCAAAAAATCCCTAAATAAACTTAATTTAAAAAAAAGTAAAAACCTACTTCAATTAGCTAAAAAAATATAGTCATTGAAATCGGTTGACGTGGTAAAGAATTATTCACCCACGTTTTGTGCAGACGCCTTTGATATTTTTCTAATGGATCCCATCATCAGATGATCAAATTTATATGGGTCATCCGCTGAGATAAACCCTTTATAAAAAGGAATCATTGAAATCGGACAACGTGGTAAAGATATATCGATGAACATACGTAAAAAAATCCGACAAATTAAGTACCTCGTCGTTTATTGTAGTCGGTTAAAAATTAAAAGAAAATCTAGCTATAACAGTTATTAACAAAATTAAAAGTATTGAGTTAAAAGATATAATGATCATTAAAATACGTATTGGTTTCGATTTCACAGTCGATGCTGAATATTTTCATCTCCTTTGGCGCATACCTTATTTCACGCATATTAAATATAACACATATTATAAAATGTGTTATACTATATTAATTTCTATAGGAAGAAACTGTATTTAATGAGTTTTTTCATAGGATAAGGGTAACAAACGAGCACACAGTCCACCTGATGGTAAGAGGTTGCTGTGGCCCATAGACATCCACGTCTATCCTCGATTATGAATCAAAATGTAGATGCGTTGTCACCCGTGAGGACTAAGATGGAATGCCTCGTTTCTAGTGTAAAGGGTCTCCGGTTCTCTACACTCACCATACGAAACACTGCAGCGTTAAGGTGCTATTTTACGCTGGTATTCTGTGAAAGCGTGGACGTTCCCCGGTCGAGCTGACCCACTCGTGCTACAACTATACCAGTAATACAGCTGTAGCATGGCTCTACGACGTATAAAATACACATTGAATATATTGGTTTTTGTTTAGGTCTTCCTTGGTTTTAAGATTATCTTGCTAATTAATGAATAATATCTCAATGTCATTAATAGTCATTCCTAATATTTTTTATATTTATGTAGCGTTGAGTGTAAACCTTAAACCAAGTTTGAATGATCAATATATTATGTTCTATCTATCTATAATAATTATCATAGTTCCATTTTCTATCTATCTAGTCGCCGCCTTACAAGAAAACGCAAATTAAAACTGTCATGTAAAATAAACTAAATATGAAAATAAACTATGTACTTATTTAAAATCACACTATAATAATACTGACAAACTGATATTCAGTTTCGTATTACGTTCTAATTTCAAGTGTATTATCTATCATGTATAATCAATATCTAACTAAAAAAAAAATTAAAAAAAAACCGGCCAAGTGCGAGTCGGACTCGCGCACCGAGGGTTCCGGACAAATCCGTAGAAATATAAGTTTAAAATTATTAAAAATATTTTTATTATATGTTGTAACTAAAAAATTATGTTTTTCGCAATTTTTCCGTTATCTGTGCTATAATACGTTGCTTCGTACTAAATTTTAAGATTCTAAATTCACGGGAAGTACCCTGTAAGTTTTGATTCTCTTGCGAATGTCGAAAATTAGCGGCATAAATGGCTGTATCTTTTGATTGCGTTGGCTTAGAAGTTTGATTTTTTCACAGATCCAAGGGACAGTAAACTTGAGTATATGAATGAAGATGAGATATGAATTTCAGCTTGATACCTCCACGCGTTCCTGAGAAAAAGGGTCTTGACATACAGACAGACAGACAGACAGACGGACAATAAAGTGATCCTATAAGGGTTCCATTTTTTCCTTTTGAGGTACGGAACCCTAAAAACTTACAGTCTACCTGATGGTAAGTGGCTACTGCAGACCATGAACCTACGAACTTTAAGCAACGATGGCTAGAGATGTGTTGTCACCTCTGCGGACTAAAAAGGATCGCGTTACAGTGTAATTAATTATACTGACTCTATACCCTACAGACTATAACACAACAGTGCATGCACTACTAGTTGACGGCAGAAATAGTTAAAAGGGACCTACCCAAACGGACTGTTATGCAGAAGGAGTGCTGTCACCTACTAAACGTACGCCGTAACGCAGCTCTGTTACGTTCACAGCTTAAAAGAAAGTGTTAACCGTGGTTATCTGTTTGTCAGCAGGCGGAATCGGACCGCGAGAGCGGCGCGAGCTCGCCGGAGGGCGGCGGGCGGCAGCTAGCCGAGGCACGTTCCCCATCGCCACCGCGTGCCCGCACGCCGCACCATCAGCCGCACTTGAATGGCTCCAGTGAGTTCGTACAACCCGTTCTATTTCACTCCTTGGTGTTGTGATGCTCGTGGTGTAGTGGCTCGAACATGTTTGTCATATTTATATTCACGGCATCTGCCGATATAAAAGAAGAGGCGAAAGCATGGATATCGATTTATGAGAATAAGGTCCTCTCCAAATTTTGACTTCTTTCGCCCTTTCTGGACCGATTTTTTAATCAGATAAAAGTTATTCATGTAATAAAATATAACATAAACAAATATAAAATTACCGTTGCATGCAGATGTTTCACTTTTATATTTAGTGAGATTATTATTGATGTGATGAATAAATTTTATTAGTTGATTGAAAAGTCAGGCCATAATAAACAATACAATATTTATAACTTTACTAATTTTTCACAAACTTGTAATATAAAGTATACTTTTTTATATGTCACCATCTTTAATCTTCATATCCATATTTATAAAATTAATAAAATTTGTGTTATTGTTTTTATATGTTTTAAAGTACTTACCTAACCTAAAAATATTTTTGATCCAAGTTTTAATTCAGTATCAGTAACCTCTGTAAAATTATTTTTCATAACGGTCAAAAAGGGCTGTGTTCGGAAAATCGCTGTTATGTAATAAAAGTTATCTAATAAATGTTTTATTTTACTTCTATTTCTGTGCATGAAGACGCTACTACGCCACGAGTGTGCTTATTTCTCCCAACTATTTGATTTTATTATCATTGTTAAATGACGTTTAGTAATTGTAAATAAAATTCAAATATTATTTAGTAATACAAAACTATATCATTTACTTACCGAGTCATCATATACATAAGATTGAAAAATAGAAACTATTATTAGCAATTCTTTCACAGTGGCGTCGATGTTCCAAAATCTGCAAAACCTGGCAAACATGCAGCAGAACATGCCGCCGATGTCGCAACAGCAAATGTCGCAGCAGATGTCGCAACAAATGTCGCAGCTGGCAGCCAACCTGCAGGGGCTCACCTCCATGCCCTCGAACCCGGTTATCAACTCACCTCTTAACCTCAGCGTTAGTGCTCCAGGTAAGGTACCTTACGATATAACGTTTAAGACAAATTTGAAGAAAGTAACATAGCATCATCATCATAGCCTATATAAGTAATAAAACAATAATAATTCCATACAAATTACCAATGTTAAAATGCCTACACTACTTTTTTTAATTAAGGTAACAAGTGACAAAGAAGCACACAGCCCACCTGATAGTAAAGCTAATACTGTAGCCCATAAACACCTTCATCTGTTCTCGATGAAGAATCAAAATACAGATGCGATGTCACAGTCAACTAAGATGAAATGCATTGTTATCAGAACAAAAGGGTCGCCAGTTTTTAGCACTTACCACTATATGTAAAACAGCAGTACTATGCTGCTATTTTACACTGGTATTTTGATCTTTTTTACCGTTCGAATAATACAGTTTTTGTAATATAAACATCTCATTTGTATGTAATAAGGCTGCTAAACTAAGCTAAAAATTTGCAAGTGATAATTGTATTCAATTCAATATACAGTAACGTACATAAAAGAAAGTGTTATTATCTATCGACACTTATGATCATCTTACAATTACCCTCCCACACATACAGGTGTTAAGAAACAATCTATATATTAATATAATCTTTGCACCCTTTCAAATCATATTGCGCGCATGGGGGTGTGAGATTTGGCAAAATTAAACTTTATATAGGAGTACAGAAAGCTAAAATTTATTTAAGTAATTTGTGTTACAAACATATTAAATTAAACTCACATTGTTTACGTTCATACTGTCAATGTCAAACACGTAATAGTCTGTGGTCAAACAATCGCACAAAGTACAGAAAAAAAATCATGTAATCACTACTTTTCAGAGTAGTGATTGTCGTCAAATAATTTAAATTTTTGCCAACAAATAATTACTGACAGATTGACCTAATTGAGCTGTGAATTTTGTGTAATTTTAAATGATCCTTTTTAATTGTCTGTGAAGTGTAAGTATATCAAGGCAAAAAAGGCTTTTTTTATTTTATATATTACATATCTGTATTTTATATATTGATGTATAGTTGTAAGTAAAATACAGCTTGTTTTATATACAAAACTTAAAAACTTAATGAATTAAGGTCAAATTTCAATCAGTGGGCGATTCCTAGTATATATTAATCTCCGTTAATAAACAGTCATAATCAGTAATTTTGTACTCAGTTGTAGGACTCCTTTTCTATATGGTTGTCCATCTAGATAGATACCACCTTCTTACGTATTTCTGCCGCCAGCAGTAGTGCGTGCGCTGCTGTGTTCCGGTTTGGAGGATATAGACATCCATTAAAGGCATTCCAACTTCTTTCTCAAATGTGACAACGAATCTGTATCATTTTTCTGGTTTGAAGTTGGTCCATGGACTGCAATAGTCACTTACAATCAGGTGGACTCATATATTGTTGGTCACTTCAGTTTTATGAAAAACTAGACCCATCTTAATCTATACCTGATTCCAATCAATATATATTCAGCAATGGATTCTGATAGGGTGTGATGATGATGATGAAAACTGATAGTTAAAATAATAATTAGCAAATGTAGAATCTCTCACCTCTATGAGACTAAATGAACAATCGATATATAACAGTAATTTATTACAAGAAAATATTGCATTCAACTAGAATAGTAGTACCTAGTACATTCAACTCCCATAGGCTGTTGTTACGCTAAGACAGTGCGACTTACCTAGATGGTAAGTCGGGCTTCATCACCTCTTACCACCAAGTGATTGTGGTCAAGCACCGGGTTATAATAAGTTAAAAAATTACACGTGACCCAGTGTAACATCAATGTTGTTGGTAGCACTGCGCTCGAAGTTGTCGACGATGTGTATGTTTACCTAGCACAAATTATGCGACTCGGTAAGTCAAACTTAGACCGAAACGTCAATCGTTGGATCCAACTCGGCTGGAAAGCGTTCGGGAAATTGCGACACAGCTTCTAGACCTGTATACCCCAAAAGATAAAAAATACGAGTGCACAATAGGCGTGTTTTCAGTGATGAAATATGGATCTGAGACGTGATCCTTCACTGCAGGCCGTCGCCACGATCAAGGTCGCTCAGCGAACAATGGAGAAAATTATGCTCGGAATTTTTTTTAATCATAGACTTCGTAATTGACTATTTGCATGAAATGTTGTATTTAGGTAATGTTTTACGCTCCAAGTTAATCTAAGTAGGTGTTATCCCTCAGAAAATTACATATTTTTAACGTCGAGCAAAGTTCATGTGCCAGTGGCGATCGAAATCAAAATGCAAATGAGATACGAAATTTTAAAGCAAGTCTTTTTTTTCTAAGCCAACCACGTTTGTGGTGTAAAACTGTAATATATTTTAAGAAGTTTATTTAATTAATTTAATTAGCAAAAAAATAATGTAGTATTGGGTTTTTTCATAAATCTTTTAACGATGTCAATAAAATAACGTTTACACCGTATTCCATTTAACCGTTCTGTAGCTACAGCAGACATTACAAAACAATGTGAAAGTCTCCACTAAAGCCAACTAACGTGACTAAAGGTTCACAATTAATAAAATATAAATACAGGTAATGGAATAAGTTCACTTGAAAATGCATTTAATACAAAATGAACTCAAAATATAACTGATTAAATATAGTTTCGCTTTGCACGTTTTGCTCTATTTGTCTTTAAGTGGCATTTATTTGTGAACCCGAAAGCACACAATCTATTTTAGCAAACACAGTTGAGGCATCTCGCACCGTCCACTTCGCTATCCAGTTTTTCACCACATTACCATTTCAAACAGGCATTTATTCGCCGGCTACGAGGGTAGGCCACTAATTAGGCCGAATTAGACAGATTGGGATAATCAGCGGGACACGATTTGTGCATTAAAACTCTTGACTCGGGTATCACGTGACTCGTAATTAGGCGATTACCGAATCCAATCGATTTAATGAAAGTGAGATAGCGGCCCCACTAGCCCGCCCATTAAAGTTATGCCGTGATGGAAAAAAAAACCTATTTAAATAATGAGTATAATTATATATTTTTCACGAACGCACGAATGTTTCGACTGTTGCGGTATCATTAAGAGTTTTATTGTCTTAATAGAGCTAATTATATATTTTTTTCGGCACTTAATTGATGCGCTGTAGGAAAGAGCATTTATTACAAAATGTGAAATGTCATGGTTTAAATGAATGCGTTATGTTAATGCCGAGTTTAACGGGCTTGTAAGTTGCGCTGATAATGTTTTAGATTTTTGTGGGGCCGTTTTGTTCGCGGGGAATTAGTCTTGCTCGGTTGCTGATGGATTTTTGTGTAATTCTCTATCGTTGCTTTATAATAGACCGGCGTCTTTTGTAATTAACTATATCATTTTATTGTTTTTAATAATTCGACTAGAAAGTTAATTTTAACGTTTCTCAATTGTTTCGTCAGTACTATGCAAGTGCAGCCATGACCGATCAGTTAGGAATTAAATGAACTTTTTGGATGTTAAAAATATGATCATGCACTTCAACGATTAGTGACGCTGTCGTAATCTTACACGTATCAAAACATACATATACTACGTAGTTTTACAGTTTTAACAGTACCCACGTTATCATTGAAATGTATTTTAGGTTGCAATAAGACTTAAGTGTGATATTGAAATTTCTACAATCAGTTTCACCAAATCATTTCGTAAATTAATAGCAAATACTTAAGAAAGATTGTCTGCCGATTGAAGAAAGATTGAACAAGATTAGTCCCGGAAAAATTAAAAATGGCGTTTTTTTTTAATGGTGAGCGCCCAGTCCCCCTGATGTTAAGTATTTGCCGTGGCCCATAGACATTCATCCTCAATAAGGAGTAAAAATTAGATGTGTTGTCACCTCTGAGGACTAAGATGGTATGCGTCGTTACAAGAAAAAGGTTGTCAGCGATCGTGTCCACCGCGACCGATCAAGGTGATTCAGTCTTTCCTAGCTGTTGTGCGTGGTAGGCACGCTTTGTTCGTTCGGTATACTACATCCCAGATTTTTACCGCTGGTAACTTACGCTTCTGTAAATTGGAAGGTGTAGGAGATGGAAAGCATTTTTGATTCATCCGCTAATAATTGAAAGACAATTCGCAGGAGTATTTTATATACATACCGACAGCTTGCGCCAGCGCGAAGAAAAGTTATTAAGACGTTCTCGTCTTAAATCTTCTTTATCCATGTTTCTTTTTCGTATTGCCGGCACTTCAGCGCGTAACTATCTCGAGCCGATATTTAGCAGTAGTGAACTAATCACATTTTAACAGCCGAGATGAGGGGGATCGGATATATGTAGCGGCCGTGCGGTGGACAACCGTCCTTAGTTTTATTTAACGTTACTTCGGTAAAATTATCTCGTTCTCAGTGATGACTCGATTACGGCGGCAGTGAACAACAAGTGTCCAGAGATATACGTTTTTATCTAATCGATCACGAACAATTGGTAACGTTACATCAGAGCAGCGTCGCGCTGTGGACGAGCTGAGATGCGTTTTCGCCGAGATGGCAGCATAAAAGAGTCTACTAACCCATATCTTCCCGTGGATGTCATTAGAGGCGATAGCGGAAAATGAATCAAGACATGAAAATAATAAAAGTATTAAAAAAATGCGGTCGCCAACCCGTCTGCTGGGCGTCGCAACTATGGCAAAACCATCAGGCAAATCTATGGGAAAGGCCTGTGTTCAGTAGTGGACTTTTATAGGCTGTAATGGAATGATAAAATATAATTTTTATAACACGGAGAATGAACACCTGTAATCAGATTTAAACAAAGATGTTCATAGATATGTTACTTCGATGAAAAGCTTTACAGCCTGTAATCATACTGGTGGTCTTTGCCTCCAAATTAGAACAAGAATGAGCATAAATGCAAAAATGCAAAAAAAGGAAAAATGAGCAAGAAGCTGGTATCACCTGAAGCGAAGAAACGGACCGGTAAAACGTTCTTCGTACTGTATGACCTTCTGTGATATATCCTACATTACTTTAAAATAACTTATGTAAAATTTACACGAATTTTAGAAGTATTAGACTAAACCCTCCGCGTAGAAATATTAATGTGATGAATTAATATTTTTCTAATTTGTTTGTTTTATTATAAATGATTTTCATAAACATAATAGTGGTTTTTTAAGTTAAATTCTAATTAAAAATATATTGTTCGTAGGCATGGGATCACCGAACCCTGTAGGCAACAGTAACATGCTGCCTCCAGCAATGCCTTCCCCGATGCCGCAGCTCATTCTCGCTTCGGGACAGCTGGTCCAGGGCATCCAAGGTGCACAACTCCTTATACCCACATCCCAAGGTAAATGTTGCTTCAAGAATACAATGTTATATAATAAATATCTAGAAACTTTAACACTAATTCAAAATTTCTTTACATCTTAATTCATTGTAAAATTCAATAAGGTATTATAAGATTATTAATAGACTATATTTTATTTAAGAACAATTTATACTTGTCATCAGGTATCGCGACGCAAACCATCCTTACGATACCGGTAAACCATGTGAACTCGAATGATCAAATGGTAAATCTGGCTTTGAACAATGGCCAGGTCGTGTCCACATCGCTCGCCAACCTCCAAGCGATGGCGCAACCTCACCAGCTCCTCAATTCCAATCCGCAACAGACGGCGAACATTCGACCAAACATGTTAAACCCAACATTGCAGAATGCGCTACTGAATCCGGGTTTGCCAAACTTCTTGACAAACGGTGCGACCAATGCGCAGGAGTTGCTCCAAGCGTTACAACAGCCGCAAGGCAATCACAACCTTCTGCAGACGGTGCAACAGAACAATTTACCGCAACAGATGCAAGGACGTCGCTCGTCGTCGCCACGCCCGGACAGACATTACAAAGAAAGGGAGAACTTTGACAGATTTGGCGGAGGTCCCAGAGATAGAAATGAAAGGGATAATTCTGGCGCTGCTGCTCTAAACAGTATTAACAGGTTAGTGAATTTTTGTAATCATATTTTGAGGCCAATAGTAGTACATCCTTATTCGTTTAAATATTTTTTTTTTATAAAAAATGCTAGTAATGTTATTAAACATTACTAATATTCCCTTTAACCACATCTGGTAAGCTTAAAATGCTTGTGCTAGAAGTGGTTCACGACAGTAGTCGAATGGCGGATTTGAACCCACGACCTTTCGAGTTCGCGGTCCGCACCCTGCCATTAGGCTACTAACGCTAATATCTAACGCGTATTCTTAAAAAAAATTAAATAAATAAACCTAGGATTGAAAATTCTTTACAATTCTTTATTCTTCTATTAAATAGTAGCAGTAGGCTTGTTAAAAAGTTTCCAGAAGCCAACATATGACTTTATCACAACAAATTGTTAATCCTGCGGTCGTGAATTATTGTCAGCTATTATTATAAAGGTGTAGAAGTCGTTCACTTATCAGACTATCAACCTTATTACTTTGAAAATTAGGCTCTAATGGAGCGCAAGTATGTTCGCCAGCGAGCGTGGGTGCAATGACAAATGTTGGTTGTAATTACGTGACAATGAGTGTAATTACTCGACCGACGCCAACTACACACGGATCTTGTAGTGTATGTGAATGTGTGCTCGCACGCATATGTGTGCGTCTGCATGTGTGTTCGTTACTAATGAACGGCTGTTGTCAGCCGCCAAGTAGGGTAAGCTTTCAAATCGGATTTCATAGTGTCAATTTATTTATATTAATCGGGACGGGACACCGAAAACGTGTCCACATTAAATATATAGCCTTTTCGGTTAAGAGACGATGACGTTTTTACTAGGTGGTAGGTGACCATCTGTGTCTAGGAGACAGTCTGGGTAGGTGCAACCCTCTTACATAACTTGGACGCTAAATTGCAGTGCTTGCGCTGTTGCGTTACGGCCTGTAGAGTATAGAGAGGCATTATAATTACAGGCTGTGACGCATTCTATCGCATATTAGTCCTCAGTTAACGCATCGGTAGCCTTCTATTTTTTTATTAATTTAAACTTTTATGCACAAAAGAAAAATCTAACATATTGTAGCAGACTTAATGCCTTAAGGCATTCTCTCCCAGTCAATATCAATATATATATATATAGTTGGCCAGGCAGACGTGCGTGTTCTGCCCTTTCCGACGACCCTTCCCATAAAAAATCGTTACATTAGCAATTTAAAAATATTGAAGGTCACTTATCATGATAAAAAGTATCCCATCTCTCAAGTTGGACCAAACTGAACACAGTGTGCAAAATCTCATTGAAATCAGTTCAATAGTTTAGGAGTTCATCGCGGACAAACAATGTGACACGTATATAAAGATATACGTATGTATATATGTATATATTTTACGTTTCAAGTAGACTGTAAGTTTGTTTGTAACTTCAGATTTATGAAAAGAAAAGACCAATACTTTCTTGTCCCTGTTGTCAGAAGAAGCTATTAAACGTGCACAATACATTGGCGTCGCCGTTAAAATATTTTATTCGTGGTAAAACCACGCTGTAACTTTATTACATGTGCAATTAGTTGACTCGACCAGGGAAGTATTACACTAGCACAGAATAAAAGCGTAAAACAGTGGCATACAACCGCCGTGTTTCACAGTGTTAGTGGCAGAAATTGGAGGTCATTTTAATAATATTTAGGCTTTGCAACGTAGAGCTGGGGGCTGACAATGCATCTGTATTTTCTGCCGACTTCCAAAAAGGAGACGGTACCCAGTAAAAAGTTATGAGGGAACACACATACTGTATGTTTTTTATGTGTGTTCTCTCATAACTTTTTACTGGGTGAACCGATTTCGATGATTCTTTTTTTATTTGAAAGCTGGTACTTCTGCTGTGGTTCTATTTATAATTGTATCGAGGTCAGGCCAATAGTTTTTGAGTTATTCTTAATAACTTATATTGAAGTCGGTTGTACAAAATTTTAAATTATACGATTACAACTATGATGTTTACTCGTGTTGCGAGTTTAATAATCTAGACAGTATTTATTATCTACCAGTTATTATTAATTGTTAATAACAATACTTAATTGAGGATAGATTAACATTATGAGCCAGTCCACTTACCATCACAACTCTATGCTCGTTGTCACTTTTAATTGCAGTAAAAAATTATTAATCTTCGCCTTGCAATAAAAAAAAAAAGTTGATAATTTGAAGAATGCGAAGAATCAGGAAAGTCATGGCAAGAAAATTAGTATTTCTTTTAACTAGGAGTAGATAAAATAAATAAGGCTTTAAATAAGAACCTATATGGAATTTCTTTAAAAATAAATTCCAAATTAAAAATATCCATTGTAAAACGCCGTTTCATAAATTCACTGCTGTTTTAAAGTAAGCCTACTCTAATAGGAGAAGTAACGCCTGTTTGTCCGTCTTTCTATCTTTGTTAATTCGTATAGAACTAAATTAAAATATCATCAATTAAAGTATATCGCAAATAAATTTATCACAAACCACCTAACCAAGTAGATATCCCTATAAAATAACCTTGAACATAAACAGACCTCCTCTTAGATTGCCTCATAAGATATTTGCCATAGTTATTACAGCTTTTTTATTTTCTATTTGATATTAGGAAGACCAAACGTGATAGAGCCGTGCTGCAGCTATATTAATTGTATAATTGTAGCACGAATAGGTCGGCTCGATCGGGGAAGGACCGCGCTCTCACAGAATACCAGCGTAAAATAGCAACTTAATGCTGCTATGTTTTCGTATGGTGAGTGTAGAGAACCAGAGACCCTTATTAATGGAAAAGAGGCATTCCATCTTAGTCCTCACGTCTGACAACGCATCTGCATTTTGATTCGCAAACGAGGATGTAGATGTCTATGGGCCACAGCAGTCACTTACCATCGGGTGAACTGTGTGCTCGCTTGTCACCCTTATCCTATAAAAAAATACGCTGGTAATCTCCTAGTTTGTTTACCTTTGTCGTATTTTACGTTACCCACGATATATGGGGTAGTGGATATTCATATACTGCCACTACACTGTCGGCCTCTACAAGTAGATATATTTATTAAACATCATTTAAAAAGAACATGTTCAACTTCAGCTTGTACATCTTAAATGCTCACACGGTCCAATGTAAAATATCATTACATCGTTGATATGTTAAGTATGGTTGAGTAGCACAAACCAGTTACCTTATTACGGAAGCGATGGAAAAAGTCGCGAGGGTTTGAATCCACCGTTCAACCACTATTGTGAACAGCTCCTAGCACAAACATTTTAAGTGTAATTGGCGTGGTGATGAATATTATTCTGTTCTAAAAAAAAGTGATAAATTTATGGCCGACAGTTACTATTTATCTATAACTGTTTGCTACATTGTTACCAAGTACGCAATTATATAAATGTGTACTTTTTAATAGGGTTGACGTTTGTGAAAAAAGTTACTTAAGTGGCAGCGTTTTACCGGTAAACACAGTGTAAAGCAACTAGATGGAGTGACAACCTGATGAACAGAGGGATGTATGTAGGAAATCGTAGATTTTTACATGGATATTTGTAATGTGCTCCCGACCAAAGTTCGGACATGTCGACCTGTTTCAACGGAGAGTAGTCATCGGCGCAGGACAGGATTGGACAGGAGCACAAGTGCACTTTCTATTCCCTGACTCATGGTCCGATGGAACGGTCATCCGCAGTATATAATTGAAAGGTATAAGATATCTTTCAAATTAGGAGCTTATTCCTAATATTTTAATCATCATTTTTCATAATATTTAGATATTTGAAATGTAGAATTTTATAGAATGTTGTTCATATTTCTGACAATATCAGAACTTTGAGAATTTAATTTCTTGATTAGTATAGACTGCAAATAATGCTCTAATCGTTATTTGAAATCCTTAAAGGTGTTAATCATTTACACACTCTTTGAACTTAATGCAGGAATTTAGTTTTATATTTTAAAATAAAAATAGCGTTAATCGCACTGTAGATGAATACGTTATAAACAAATGCCTGAAGCAACACATCTATTTTAAACTAAACTTTTATCTGTAATCAGTAACATACTTTGATGTAAATTATTGTATAAAATAATTTATAAAACATCTAGAATACAAAGAACTAATTAAAATTGAATGACTAATGTGCTGCATGCAAAAACAATATTACCATTTCAATTCATTTCGAATAGAAAGAGTCGATGCTATCGCACGGGGTAACGTCCCTTTGCTCATTAACTGTAATTATTATATTTCGTTCTGGCAATTCCTAATTTAAAAAGTTATTAATCAAACCTCTTTTTGTGTCTTTTTTTACATGTAACATTGATTACGAATGAAAATATTAATTTAAAAATTAAAAAAAATATATAAAATGATCCAAATTAATCTTTTTAAATTTTGAACGCAAAACCGTCCGTATAAAGTTTACATTAACAATTTACTTCATTATGTTTACATTCTTATTTGGCTAGTTATTTAATAGTTTCTATACTCAAAGCATTTGTTTATTTCATACGTAAACTGGTAGTGTATGCATTCGAATTAAAAACAACTTACTATTTGTATGGATAAATTGCGTTGGAAAGATGCGATTAGTTATTTGTCATCGCACCGTGTGCTAGTGAGATATAAAAGTTAAACGACATGCCGTTCGAAAACGCGCTTGATACTTTGTCAAAATACACCGTTTATCAAAATTTACACGTAGGTACTTTTTTTCTTTGGTAATGGACTCGTACGGTTTGCGCTAGGGATAGGAAAAATAATCTTATTATTATAGAATAAGAATGACAAACGGGCACATAGCCGACCTGTGGTGTGTCTTGCCTAGTGTAGTGGTGTTGGGGGTAGCGGTGCTGGGATTAGTGGTGACGGGGATAGTGCCCGCAATTGAGGGAGGGCGGGAGTTGCTCTTCATACTAGGTAAGACACATCATTTTATTTTATAACGCGGATATTTGCGAAGTAAATTTTTCTAAAAGCTTTTAAAAATATATACATTTTTTCT